TTACTGCGCTTGAAACCCAAATTTATTTTAGTATTTTATTACCATTTAACTTGCCACATGAAATGTGACTTGAACGTAGCTTTTTCAAGCCTAGCTATCATCAGCGGAATCTATGTTAGGCCTGGTTTCCTAAAGCTGTGCACGAGATTGCTCCTCTACAATACGCAGTATTGTGAATCTTAAGGCCTAGGTGCTCCGCAAAAGCCAAAAACTGATAGTCGGCGTAAACATCACTGATGAAAAAAGAAACAGCTCGTGATCACGTCGTAGATTGTCTATATATTTCCATGGGCATGGAACGAGATTGAGCCATTCCAATGCGTGCATGGGCCATTGTGACAAAGCAGAAGACTATATATGCGATGGGCTCGTGTTCGTGGCGATTGTTCAGGTCGACGTCAATTGCTGCTGCTCCTGTAAACATACGTTGTGCGCTATCCGTAGTCACGTAAAAATATGTAACGTTACGTCACTAGATCACGTAATCAGGCTACTTCATTGCTTGGTCAATGGCGGGCCAATCAAGGCCGCTACGCACTAGGCGAATAAGTTGAAGGTGAATACATCTAGTCAAGCTTCTTGAAACTGAGGTGCACAGCCATGTTGTGGGATTGTCCAAGCACCGGATAGCTTTCGCAGAATTAATATTAGAGCTTTAGTATTGGGCCATTTTACAGAAAAAAAAGGAAGAAAGAACGGGATGAATTTATTACTGAAAAATATACTGTAATGAAACACAAATAGTGAAGCATCTAAACATAATTTTAAAAGGGAATTACAAAAGTGAAAAGTAGTAGCCAAGATTGATTTCAAATGCTGAAGCTCCTTGAACATTTGATGAACTCCTGACGTGTGCAATTTTCGTGCACGTCAAATAAGCTTAGGTGGATGAAATTTTTCTAGCTTTCCACTACGGCGTGTCTCATAATCATATTGTGCTTTCGGGACGTTAAACAAACACCACATACGTTAATGATTAAACCCCCACATGCCTATCTATGGAACTCCTGAGATGCGTGAGCATTCGTCTCGTCACTCTGGCTAAGAGACAAAGCCCAAAGAACGTACACTTCGCGTACTGAAAGGTATTCCATGGAAGTGGAAAATGGCACCTAAAGTACACTTATGCGTAAGGCACAGTATCTATTTCAGGAAATAAAATAATGCACAGTTGACTAATTTACTCCACAAAAAGAACAATGAATGGAGGCCTCCAGGCCAGCTCCATGTCAATGTATATTTAGCTACGGAGTCTGACAAAGCATTCTAGTAATGAAGACTTCGATTTCTCGAGTTTTACATAATTTACTATTCCAATGATACATCAAGGGCTTGAGTTCTCAGGTGACCATTATTGATGGCGCAAAAAATTAATCTAACAGCAGTTCCATTAGCATTATAGCACATATAATCAAACTGGACGCTGTTAGAAGCTCAATAGCAGGCCCATTTAAAGATTACTTTGCAAGCGCATCTGCGTGTTCATTCATATATAGGCCCTTGTGCCCTGGAACCCAAACGAACTTGATCGAATGAGAAGGGAAATTTTTTAGAGATTCTTTTCGCTAACAAATAGTCTTATTTTGAAAATTCAGTGCCTCTTTAAGCTACGCATCTATGAGTTCAACGCGATAACCTGCCACTAAATGGCCCCCTACGGCACTTCGGTATCACTAGAGCGAATTGTCAAAGGTGCTATGAATTTCTAGGAGTGCCATGTTGGTTTTTTACTTGGTTCAACTCAATTTCTTCAACGCAGTAATTTTTTTTTCGAATTATCTGGGCTGGTCATGGTACAAGTAGACTACATGTTTTAGTAGGGCAAAGAATTTTTCGGGTGGGTCAAATCAATCCTAATTAGCATCGAAACGTTGCGTAATGCTCTGGTCACATGTGTTCTCACGTTTCGATCTGCTTGCCATGTGATGTGATGTGATCAAACGTGTGATGTGATCACGCGTTTCGATCTGTTTGCGGTTCTCAGCGTTACAGTTCAAGCTGCTGCTATCGCATTCGTTGTTTCACCCTTGCGGCGAAACTGTGACGTTCTTTAAAACGATCAAGAGACGGCTGATGGCACACTAAAGGCCCACTCACAATCCTAACGGCGGCGCAAAACAAACTGAAGTCTGAATACGCCCACGAGCACCGCACATCCAAATACTGGATTGAAGTATATCAACTAGACTAGACTCGGCTTCGTGCGGGTCGCAATCGTCACCTTCAACTACACTCCTATAGAACCCCTAAACCACACGGAGTTCTTAGGTGAAACAGTTGTGTGTCTCTCTCTCTCTAACTGCACTTACTACAGGTGCTATCCCTTCCTCGCATTCTTTTTAATTAATCATAAAATCGGCTGCTGACCCGCAGGTCGTGGGTTCGAATCCCGGCTGCGGCGGCTGCATTTCCGATGGAGGCGGAAATGTTGTAGGCCCGTGTGCTCAGATTTGGGTGCACGTTAAAGAACCCCAGGTGGTCAACATTTCCGGAGTCCTCCACTACGGCGTCTCTCATAATCATATGGTGGTTTTGGGGCGTTAAACCCCACATATCAATCAATTATTCTGAAAAAACATGTTATATCAACACGAAGTGTGCAGGCATTCAGGATTTCGCACCGTTCGACTACACGCTACCATCTCGACTTGCGCAGCGGCCAATGCACAAAATGAAAGAAATTAAATGAGTTTATCGCGAGAGCGTGTCATATAATACAAGGCAGAATGAGCATGCAACTTCAGGAAAAAATAAGGTGGGCAAAAATTAATAGCAGACATGACTCGCATATTAAACAGTAATCAGCCTAAGCTATCCTCACGCTACGTGTGCTAACAGGTGACGTCACGAATTGCGCCGCAACAACAGGAAACGCTGGGAGAAAAACGTGCTCGTCCTTTGTGATTTAAAAGGTTGTCCGGGAGCCCTTTCTTAAGGGAAACGCGTAGGCTTTATGTGTCCCATGCATTTTCGGTCATTTTGGGGCACTGTTTTTTCGGTGGCTAAAAGAGATATTCACATATTTTATACGTGCTTTTCTTCCGTACAGTCCACTCTCATAACTGAAGCAGTTCAATTAAACTAACTGATCTTAGATATTTCATAAATTTTGAACGAGGGCAGAAATTTTTACTTAATTTGCATCTTTACATCGTTCCCTCTTCACGCATTTCTCATCGCACCTGTCATCCGCAATAAGTTGCACGCCCACGCACCCGAACTGCTCACTTCTCTGCCTCATTTATCACCCGCACTGCCAAAGACTGGAACGGCCTTCCTGCTGTATTGCCGTTATTACCTACTCGTCGAGGTTCCAACAACGTCTAAGTAATCAGTATAAAACTTTTAACGTATAAGTCGTGGGAACGTTTTGTTAACCCACCCCTTATGTGAAGTCTCCTTCGGTAGACCCTTAAGGAAAATAAAATGAACTGAACTGAATCGTAAAATATTTCAACCACAAAACAATAAAGTGCAAAATTTCAACTCTGCTTCACTATAGCTGTAGGCATTCGAACAGAATACAAGAAAAAAATAACCAACTGGTATTTTGAAATGCATAGAAATTATGGTATCTAAGTTATCTGGTTCGGAGATAACTGAGTTTTAAGTTGAAAAACCCCGAACTCACTTTATTACGAATACCGTTGAACTATTTTACTTAGTACCTGAAGGCTTGGCAATAATTTTCACATTTTTCACTTGGAGCTTCAAGCACATGATGCTTGCCTTGCCTTCTTTTATGGGCTGTCATGCCGCTCTATACGCAGCCCATATCGGTGAGTGTGGTCAACGTTTTCCAGAAATAATTGTATTTTGGTGACGATATAATTTGAACTATTCCATAATTTAGCCTCGTGCAATAAATAATATTATTATTTGCAAGAACATTATCGAATGTCACAATCCTTTAGGCTTTGAACCTATACAAAGACAACAAACGTGCGCGTAATTCCTATCAACACCACACTTGCGCCAAGCAGATGGAACGCGCTGATTCAGTCTAATAATGTCACAAATAATAGTCATGTCTATTGGAGTGTAACCTTCGTTAACCTGCACGTGACGCACCGCGAAGGACGCTGAAAGGGCAAAGAGGTTTACCCATGAATAACTTGCCGGTTGACCGCTCAATACATTAGTATGTGACCGACTTGCATTCACATTTACAAGAGAACTGTATGGGAAGCCACAAAGTTCACTCTTGCTGAAGACCTTCTTTATCTTCAGCATTTAAGCTTATCGACTAGCACGACATACTCGAGGTGTAATGAAGCTGTAAGAGTTCAAAGTGTTCGAAGTGATACGCTTGGCAGACGGAGTGGGAATGTAAAGGCGCACTGTCTTCGGACTGTTTTGTAGGCATTACCTGAAAACTTATTGCGCAGAGCTGATTCTCGGCAATCATTGTGGCTTTCGTACATGAAGTTTTTTTTTTCTTTTAGAAACATAGATTGTGATCCCCGAATGCATGCGAAGTGCTTGTGCTAGGTTGCATTTTCACTCAGTACTTACTCTCGGAGAAGCTGGTTTTGAGGCACAAAAACTATTTCCGAAAAACACGAATCTGTAAAATATGAAAATCTTGAGGGGCGGGGGCGGGGGGGGGGGGTCTGCTGTACAGCAAGTAGATGTTTATCTCTGGTTTAGATCTGATCCAGCATGTCATCAGGCGACAATCTGATACATCATGACGTGCCTGGCGTGAAAAATGGTTCCCTATGGAGATTAGAACACTATGAAAATCTCCTCGAGCACGAACATTTTAATTGTAATTTATTTGAAACTTTATGGTGAATAATAATCTCACCTATATATATCTGAACACTTCTCGAGTGTTGACGCACATTGCCAAGTTCATTAGGTGCACACAAATGTTGTGAGCACAGATAACAAAAATAATGTAGTTCCGATCAAAATGATTCTATAGTTTCCAACGGCAGCTGTTTTGCGAAAGCGGAGTATAGTGTAAGGAATGAACTTGAAACGCCAGTGACAAAGTCGGGATGACAAAATAGGTTTTCTTTATTCATCAGTCATTGTATAAAAGAAGGAAGCGGCACTTTCGACGTAAACGGCCGGAAATACAATCGCTTTCTACATTCCTAGGTTTTAAGTAACAAGTCCATGCGACCACGTCATAAATATCTGGCATATAAATTTTGAAGCATCTAACAAAGACAGGTATATCACAATGCGCACGGAGAACTTCTTAAAACGAGCCTATTTAAAAATAAACGAAGAGATGGGACAACATCAGTACTTGTTCTAATGGTACGTAATTTAAATTTATACTGCAGAGGGCCACCGTGGTTTTTGATAAGCAAACGTTGCTATAGGCCCGAAAATGGGAATTCATCATCGAAGCAGTTGAAAAATCTGCACGTCAACCGCCAACTATATGAAAGGTGATGCTTGAGTGTTCATTTTTTCTCCCCATATCTACCTCCCACCATGACGTCTAGTGGCTCCTTTCATACAATGTCAGGTCTTGCTCGTCTGCTTAATGGTGGCCCACATGCTCGCCGAAATCACAGGTGAGGTATTTCATGCACCGCGTCTATGTCTTCCGAACGCATGCAAGGTTTGACAGAACGTTGCAATTCTTGCGTCAGTTTGCCACGGGGCGTCATCTATAGAGAGGGACCAAAAATAGTTCACGGTTATCGGCAAATAACGAATATACATAGGGATTCTACTCTTAATGCAAAATAGAGCCAGTCTTTTAATGAGGATGGAAAGACAATTTAGCCAACGCAAGTACAAACGCCGCCACAGTGGTCTAGCTGTTACGGAGCTCTACTGCTAACCGGAAGATCGTGGGATCAAATCCCGGCAGCGGCGGCTGCATTTTCAATGGAGGCGGAAATGTGCGATGTTGGTGTGCTTGCATTAGTGCACGTTAATGTCCCCCAGGGGTTCAATATTTTCTGTAGTCCTCGTCTCTCATGACAACATGGTTTCGGTAGATTATTATCCAGATATTAGTATTAACGCGGGTACCATCCTGCAAAAATCTTCAGTTGTAATTAAAAGAGTTATACACATATATGTGCAAAAACTGACCACTCTGCAGCTCTAAATAAAAAACTCAACTATTGAAAATCTGATCCAAATAGTACATTGTTAAGGTGAAATCCCTATATACCCTATCGGAAGGTGTCAGTCGATTTACGTGTAGAAGACAATAGCACAAAGTGTCACATGACCTATATGGCACGAGCTGCGAGTTGTTTTCGTTTTCTTTGCCTTCCCGTCATGCACGTGACTTCGCAAAAATGTATCTATCGTAGGATTTTTTTCTTCACCGTTCCAAAATCAGAGAACTGAGGTGACACTCAACCCAAAGACGATGACATCCTGCGTATAGTTTTGACCTTTGAAATTTTTATTCACGGAAATAGACTAATAATCTGAAGGCAGATAACACACCTAACAGCACGCAAAACTGAAAAAGACGAGGACAGAGATAATGCGTAAAGTACGCTGTCTATCATCTGTATATTCCTTTTGCGATACTATGCATACATGGATACATTGTGCCAATGGGTAGAAAAAAGAAATAAAAGGCTAAATAGAGCAAGTTACAAATAAATGTAGTGGGTGACATTGGCATCGTCTTAGTCACAAAAGCTCTCAAACATATGCTCATCTTTGGTCAATTGAAGTGATGGAATGCTGCAAAATATTTGTCTCCAACGTGAGCAATCTTTCGTACCTCGATTGTCTTCTTTCCGTGCTGCTTATCTTGGCGATATTTAGTACTACTTTCTTTGAACTAAGGCTGCCAAACCTGTGTAAGTTAGGGCGCAGACTTAGCGCCACATTTACGGCAGTGTAAGTTGAACTGACCCAGGTTATTGCCTTATATTCTATCTCTCTCTCTCTGTCTGCGTGTCTGCGTGTGCGTGTGTGTGTGTGTGTGTGTGTGTGTGTGTGTGTGTGTTTCATACGAATGTTAATCCATCTGCCTGTCTGTCATATCTACTCGCGTCCGCTAGACAATAGGGAGCTTTAGTATACAGCGGGAAACAGTCAACGCAAGGATTTAGCATTAGTGCTGCGCGCTCAAAACTGAGCAAGTGCACAATTGTTAGCACAACCAGAACTTCTTCGTGCGAATGCTATTACTGAACTATAGCGTTCAACGTTAATACACGAAACAGATGCCGTAAGTTCGACAAGATGGCGCGGTTTGTTGAAGCGAGAGCCGTCCTCTTGAAGTTTTAGCCGTCAGCCTGCATTTTTAAACTGCTTCATTCTCAAATACTGGTAGTGTTTACTTATGTAGTAGTAATGAGACTACACCAGCTCTATACTACCGATAGAAAAAGTTACGTTTTGAGATACGCAGTCGATTTGGGGTGCAGACGGTTTAGTAAAACTTGCCCACAAGGTTCGCTCATGTTTTTGGTAGCCGCAGAGAGATGGTTATGCTGTTGTCATTCACATGTTATGAAATGGAGGCAAATGCAGCCACAAGTAAGGCTCAGCCAAGTAATAAGGGATCTTCAGGAATACTCAATTACAGTATACGTCGAAATAAAACGGTGCGTTTCAGGCCGCCAGACGCAACAGAACAAATGTGGCACGCAGACGTGGCAACCTTGACTTCGAGTCAACTCGATTTAGTAGCGCACCTCAGGTTTCTATGGTGCATATGGTGTTTTTTTTTCAAGTAGATGCCGCCGCAGGCGGTTGCGTTTGCGTTCACGGGAAAGCCTCTCACTGTACTAAAAGTATGCCAGTGGGTATGCCACGCGTTCCGTTTGAGCGTCAGCGCTGAGACGCACGCACACTAACGCTTACCTAATCGTTTTCCGATATGCTAAAGCTCTCTAATAGCAAGCAGTATACACAACCCCTCACCGCAAAGCGAAGTGTGATCTCGATGTCTAATACAGTGTGACTTCTCTGTTTGCTGTTACACAGGTTCATTGTCTGATAAAGGGAGGATAGTATTATCGTCGAAAACACATCAACACCTGCACTTCTTGCAAACTTGCCCAGAGAATTACACTGGATAATGTTGGAATGCACCAGTCAACGTGTTGCTATGAACATATACATTAGAGCACAATTTGAGAGAGCTCTTTTCAAGAAAACCCGTTTGAGGAAGCTTTTGGTAGGCACTGTGCAGTCAAGTTTTCCAGTCTGATTGCAGGGTCAGAATACACATCCTAGCGGATAAAAAAGCAACCTTGAGGCAGCCTCAATGAAAATGAAGCGCCACGTGCGCGTTTCGCGCCCCGCTTTTGTATGCGGATTGTGGCAGGGATACATGGCGGACGCGAGCACGAGTTCATTTTTTGCGTTTCCCTAACGTTGAATGTCAAAAACTTTGAGATGGTGCAGAGTGACCAAGGCAGCTCTACCTGGTCAGTGGGCGGTGCCTATACGAAGCAGCTCCAAGCACCTACTTTAACACGTGTTCGCCGCTAATTTAGTAATAGGCCGTGAGGATAAAAGGTCCCACTGAATCGCAACGAATGCAAGGCAAGAAATAGATAGAAAGGGTTACAGTGTGTTGTAGCGGTGAGTGTTGTAGCATGGAACAGCCAAAGAAGGAAACAAGAATGCGCAATCTTTTTTTGAATTTCCGAAATGCGCCGCTTGGCCGTTGCGGATGTTAGGAAGGTCAACGCACGCGCGACAACCTTCACATCGCGCGGGACTATACTAGCCCTGCACGCGAACATAGTTAGTACATGATGCCCGGGCCTTTTCATCTAGGCCTTAAACTATGCGTTACGAGCTTCACTTATTTAGGGTATGCCACGTTTGCTACCAGAAAGTATTACTGTTAGGGCACGAGTGTGAATGTAGGAAGCATGCCACTCTTCACACGTTAGCGTTCAATTCACCTGACACCTTCGGCTAGGGTGTCAAACTCTTTTCTTGACAGTCGGGCTCAAGGTAAGCTTCTAAGTTGCTGTCAGGCTTGGCTCTGGCAGTTGCGATAGTGGCAAAATAATCAGAACCACGAATCATTACAACGTAGGTGCAAAGGCTTCCCAGTTATAATGACTCACCAACTACACTGAGGAAGTTGCGATGCATCTTATCCTTGACAAGTCATAACATGCATACCAAAACTACAACAGTGGTCACGTGGATTCTCGCGCTAAATAAACAATGCCATCCCAAGGAATGTCCCAGTTTAAGGCCCACGTTGAATATTTAGGCCTATGCATTCCAATAATTTTGAAGCATGTCTAAGTAGAAGAACACCAGCATTATCTTCAGTTTGGCACTGTCGAAATACCACCGCGCGGCTGAGGATACAGCCGTGTTACACAACTATAACCACCAAGTGACAATAAACGATAGAAAGGAAAAATGAGATTTGCCTGGACACAAGATGGATAAACCATGGTTTTGGCTGATGTAGAACAATCGAAATTACAGGCCTATACAATCATCCGGCGTTCCTGATTAGAAAAACTTCATGGTTCTTACCTTGGCTGGGCGTAGCCAAACTGTGGTCTACCGCTGGCTTCTAGGGGAAACGCAAGGGGACCTCAGCCAAAACGTCTGTGTTTTAATTTGTAAAAAATTGACCCACTAGGAAAGCGGCATTCAGGTCGGCATGATCCCTAACAGGAGTTCCACACTTTCGCCCCTGAGGGCGGAGCACAGGCTAGCCGTAAGAATTGACAGTAACTCGAGTAACCTCACCTGTACGGCCGCGAATCGCTGACCGTGCCAGAGCACCAGGAGCACCGCTGTGCCTTCCTGAAAGCCGGAATTCGCGTAGTCGTTTATCATGCAGACAAAGATCATGTCGCGGTGCTGCAAGGCACTGAACGTCGTGTGAAACTGGTGATTGCAGTGCATTCGCCAAGAATCCAACAGTGACATCGACATTGACGTGCTGCGCGGAGGCTCCGAGGCACAGCAGCGTCCATGGGCCCATGCGTCCAGTCTGCATGAGCCAACTGTGGAACCAAGTTAGGCGCTTCATCAAGACAGGGATGCTTGGAGAAGCTGCGAGAGCGGCGGTTATTTGCGGGTGGGCCATTGGTGGTGGCAGCGCTCCGAGTCACGGCAGCCAATACACGTTGTCTTGGTCCAGGCTCTGTAGATCCTGCGTGGACACTTCCTGCAAGTGGGTGCATAGCTCTTCTACAACATGTGACGGCATCCTTGTAAAGTGCTCAGGCAGCGCAGGAGTATCTGCGTCCTAATTGTGGATGGGGCTTGGTCGTACGGTCAGCGATAGCGCGGTGCTTAACTACAGCTGGCAGCTTGCGAATGGAACGCCAACAAAACTTTCAGCTGCGGCGGTAGCTGTGCTATCCGCGATGTGAGCCCACCTAAGACAGGGTTCGCATTCAGCCAGCAACTAAAGTAAGACTGGCGATGCTACAAGATAAAACGAGAACATTTTACGGAGCGACTTAAATTGTTATCGTGAGGAGGGAAAATAGCGGCGAGCGCGCCCCTCCGAATCCTGCAAGAAAGTAGCGGCAAAAATAAGCAAGCGCGCATGACAGCTTGCGTTAGCCCTTATGCGAGCGTAAGATTGATATGTGGGTTTTATCGTCCCCAAACCACCACACGATTATGAGAAACGTCATAGTGGAGGGCTTCGGAAACTTTGACCACCTGGGGTCTTTAAACGTGCACAAAAATCTGAGCACACGGGCTTAGCCATTTTCGCCTCCACCTAAATGCAGCCGCCGCCACCGGGATTCAATCTCACCACCTGCGGGTCAGCAGCCGAGTACCTTCGCCACTAGACCACCACGTCAGGACCTTGTTTGAGTTTATGCGTATTCAGATTATGCGCGTTCAACAACGTCCACCGTTTTTTGAAAGACGGCAAGTGCTATATAAAAATAGTGCAAACAATCATCTAAAAGCGAACATGCCTTGCTTCATGCAAGCAGCTATAGCCAAAGTGTTTTACTTCAATACATCTTGTCGTCATGAAACTAAAGCACTTTATTTTCATGCAAAGCCTGCGGCTTGAATCATAGACGCAACGTGCATAAGGGGGCATCTGAACAGTGCTATCACTTAGGTTGTTTACGGGGCAGCCTCGGTGATAAATCTCTCTGACTTTCGCGAAGGTTGCTTTAATTTTACGGACGAAGCTCCTTAGACCGCGGGTCATCTGTAGTAGCAGTAGTATGCAGCCACCTCGAGTTTATGAGTTGGCCAATATAAAGCACGTTGTGTGTATATGTCCTAGGGAGCCTACCCGACCACACACAGAGGCGGCGCGCACATGAAGAGTCCCTGACAGGGCACCTCCAGAATTCCACTCACGGCAATTCCCGTGCAAGACATGAAATATACGTTGTATTTTCTCTCGCCAGGCATGAGACTATCGTCTTTCGAAGACAATTCCAGTCAAATATGAAGATACGAGGTCATTTTTTCTTTGCTTTCTGATCGTGCCTATTTCTTGGACCTCACTTCCATGACAGAAAAACATCACTGAAGTCTTGGTGGACCCTGGCATAAAACAGCTGCGTGTTAAAATAGGCCATGATCAATCCGTCGGACCATCAGTGCTACTGTCTGTCCGTCTTTTCGCGCGTCAGTGCGTACGTCCATCCGTCCATGTATCTATCTGTCCGTCTGTGCATCAATGGGTTCGTCCATCCGTCCGTTCATCCGTCGCTTTGTAAATTCCAAAGTGTGTTCGGTAAACGCCTGTGCCTAATGAGACGTGTTTGGAAAGATTGGAACGCGATGCGCGCGTACCTAGTACTTAAGTGATTGTACGCACTTGGCATAGAGACTCTTCGCAGACTCCAACCCGATGCAGGACCGACACGACCAGCGTATACAGGCGTCCGTTAGCACGC